TTCCATGTTCTGTGTTCTGTGGGAGACCAGATATAGTGAATGCAGGGTCTTGGGTTTAGTAACACTTTAAATGAAGAAAAAAGGCTGATTTATGTGCAGATGTATGATTGGACTATGCAGAGCACCATGGGGCACCTGGAGAAAAAAACAAACCACCACAGCACACCACAAGTCCCAGCTTCAGTATCCAGAATCAATGGCACCAAAAAGTTCCATCCAGACCCCAAGGGAACATAGAATAATGGAGGAATAGGATCCTGCAGCTTCCACAAAGAGATTTGGGGTGATCCAGTGCAGTTCAAATAACAGAAACACAAGAATGTGGGATCAAAGTTAGAATAAAAGCAAAAATCTGTTAGATTGCAGGAAGCAGGGGCACCAGGACCAACACATAACATGGGCAGCATAGTGGCTAAATGGTTAGCACTTCTGCCTGGCAGTACTAAGGTCATTGGTTCAAATCCAAACCACAGCACCACCTGCTTGGAGTTTGCATTTTCTCCCTGTGCCTGTGTGGGTTTCCTCCAACCAGGGGAGGACTGACCATTTGGAAACTCAGGGCACTGCCCGAGAGCCCGGGGTCAGCAGGGGGCCCCATGAGATGCCCCTGGTACCTTTTTCATAGGCTTTTTTGAGTTTGGGCAAGGACACAGGGGCCCCATGATCCCCTATTGCCTGGGGGCCCCATGAGTTGTCAATCCGCCCTGCCTCCAACACTCCAAAGACATGCTGGTAGGTTAATTGGCTCCTGTCTAAATTGGCCCTAGTATGTTTATGTATGAATGTAAGTTAGGGACCTAAGATTGTACACCCCTTGAGGGTTAGGGACTGATGTGAATGTACAATATATATATGTAAAGTGCTGTGTAAATTGACATCACTATATAAGTACCTGAAATAAATGAATAATAACCAGGCAGTAGCTCCCAATCTAATAGCCAGCATACAGGCATCTAGCTCCAGCAGTTTTCAAAAGACACACCAATGGACTACATCCTCAGCCCCTAGCTGTTGCAGTGACCTCTACCCAGGGGCGGACTGACAACTCATGTGGCCCCCAGGCAATAGGGGATCATGGGGCCCCTGTGTCCTTGCCCAAACTCAAAAAAGCCTATGAAAAAGGTACCAGGGGCATCTCATGGGGCCCCCTACTGACCCGGGGACCCCGGGCAGTGCACCGAGTTTCCAAATGGTCAGTCCGTCCCTGCCTCTACCTAAAGGGAATAGGGGGCAGTAATGTTCCCAAAGACAACTCCTTTTTTCCCTAACCTCAATAATATATCAGTTGCTTTTATTCTAAGTTGGATCCTGTGCTCCTGTTGATTGGGGAACCTGGAGGGTGAGAGAAAATTACTGCAAGCAACATGAGCTGCAGAGAGTCTTGTGACTCCCCTCTACAGTATCTTTGCATCTACCGCCCTTCACTTACTGTTGGATTTTGAAAGTGTAGTGTCCAGACTGGTAAAAGTAAAGGCAAATTATGAAAAAAAAACCTCATGAACTACATTAATTATGATTTTGTTTGCTATCACTTTTATTCTACTGCCGCAAGCAGATACAAATCTTGTAAACGCTTTGTTAAGTGAGCTTGCCTGTATCACAGATATAGAATCCCATGTCACTGCCCACATCCATCCAGCTGAGTCACATGCCTTCTGGCTTATTAGTAGTAAAGTTCTTATCAGCAGAAACTCGCCACCCGGACAAGAACTGATCTTTAGAAACGTTTCTGATTCTAAGATGGACTTCTGTCTGGCAGATAGCCTAACCTTATGCTGCTTGGTAAGTATGTGCATTTGACTGGCGAGCTTTACTGACATTTTACCTCTGAGCTCTCTGCATCCTTTAGTAAATCTTTTGTATTGACATATCTACTAAAACGGAATTCAACTCTGCATTCCATATCCTCTCCACAGACAGAGGGTCTTTACAGGCCCATAACTACCTCTTTAAAATCAAAACTCTTTACGCTTTCCATCCCCATGAAAACGGTTTGACCTAATTTTGTAATTTAATTATTATCCTTTTAAAATGATAAAACATAATTTTATAATAACTGTCCCATGTCACCAAACTTTTGTTTAGAAATCTTACTTGATGCTCCTTTTTTTTTTTTAGACTAGCTGAAATTGACTTTTATATTTTATTTAAAAAATAAGTTACAAATTATTCTTTTTTTTTTAATTTCCAGTTTTTTTTAAATCTTTTTCTTTCTTTCTTGACGCTATGTTTTCTACGGGGTAACATTTTTCTATGTACGTCCTGAAACACACATCCGTCTTAACAATGCTGACATACTGTATGACTTAGCATTACAGTCTATCACTCAATATATGAGCCATGACCTAAAAACTGTTAACATCCTCTGCTTCATGTTAAAGTCAAAATGTCTATATACAGTTAATCAAAATTTAGGTAAACAAAAAGGAACACAAAATGCAATAAAGAAATGGAACAAAGAAAAAAATCAGCATTAAAAGGAAAAACATGATTTTGATTCTGTATGTACATGTAGAAAAAATACAGTATTGTATGGGCTTATTGCATCTTTTTTAAATTGAATATATAAAAAAAAATTGTATGATAGTAATTAAATAACTATAAGGTATTGCATATTGCATGTGTATTTCAATGCTTTACATGTAGCAAACAACAATGTACTTTAATTAAATGAATTAGGCTAAATCATGCAAATATAGATACTAATATTTATATGTATTAATATTTTTACCAATACTTTTACTAATATACTGTGTATATGTACTAGTACTCATATTAACATTTTTCTTCTGGTTTGCCTAGCTACTTGCAAGAAATTGCATAAATTATAGAACACAATGTAAACTATGCAAATAAATATAAACAAATAAATTAATTTATATATATATATATATATATATATATATATATAGTTTTTCATACATTTCCATTATATATTACATCAAAACATGCAATACATCTCACTTTTGAGATGGTTTATTTATATTGTTCTTTACTTTTTTTGAATAAATCAGTTCAGATTTAAAATGGAAATGCAACAATGCTTCTTAGAACATCTAAACTTCGGTTCATTCCACTAAAACAACATAGTTTTGTGTGTAATTATTTAACTTTTCGATGATATAATAATGATATATTATCATTATACAGGATTCATATAGCACCAATAGTTTGCACAGCAGTTTACAATATAATATTATATATTACAAAATATTATAATTATATATTACATATTAAAAAAATACATTATAAAAACTTAACAGCCCATCGTTGGGAAAGTCTACTTTTTGTTTTTTCTCCAGCTACCCCTTAATAGAATTCTATCTATTTATCTATTTCATTTTTTCTTCTTACCCATCTCTTGTCTTAGAAAATTTCTTCTGTGAAGTTCAAATGACACGATCTTTATCTTCTAGTGGTGTTGGCAATAGGAGCCTGTAGTGCAAACTATTTGCAAGATATTTAACAGACGAGCTCCTTGTAAAGCTGGGGGGGCATTCACTTCAGCCGCCTTGGGTGACTTGCCTCCTCAACAGAAAATGCTGCAGCTACAACAGCTAGCAAGCAATATTTCCAGATGAATTAAAAGTAAAAGGGGCTCATGGCTTAATGAAGAAATGCTCCAATAAAAATCATTTGTTGTTCCTGCCCAGACAACAGCTTTAAAAATATTATGTTTATATTGTGCTATTGAAAAAAAAAAAGAAGCGGGTACATAAAAGCAAATTATAGTATCAAATATTTAGGGAACCATGTTTTCCCTGTTTGAAGCCATGAAAAATGATTTAAGAGTGCATATCCCAAGTCATGCGGCTTTTAAAAACAACATGTATCATATATAGGAGTATCCTGCAGAGTTTATAGATACTAGTAAAGAAGAGACTGGAACTCACCCAGGGAACCTTCTAATGGCTTTCACTTCACAGTGCATTAAATGCAACCTGTGGTTTATTGAGAACTGGCTCACTTTGTTGGACAGTTTTAGGCAAACCTGTAACGTTTTAAAAATAACTATGTATTCCTACAGTGAATATATGCTTTTAAATCATAAATAGGCTTTTGTCCCATGAGTTCATTCCTATTCAGACAAACTCATCGTAGAAAGATGCTGATTAGGCACACATGAAAACGCTAAGCCGATGGCTAAAGTTAAAGCTGGTTTTATAGCAGAATTCTGGACTTAACCCTTACTACTCTTAAAACTGTACCCTACCCCCTCCCAACACCTATACCTACTAACTTGTGCAAGAAAGTCTATATATATATCTATTTTCTGCCTGCTTTGGTTTGGTCACGTGATCCCGCTCCCCTGTCTCAGCCAGCGTGGCTGCAGGGGAGAGAAGGGAGTTCCAACAATGGATGGGTTATTGAATCCTCTGGGAGATGTCACCACTCCAGGCTTTACCACCTGTTGTTGGAGCACTTTCTCCCCTCGCCGCTGGCTGTCACAGGAGAGATCATGTGACCAGACCGAAGCAGGCTGAAAATAAGTAAGTATACAGATCTTTCTTATACAGGTAAGCATAGATGTTAGGAGGGGGTATGGGACAGTTTTAAGTTTAGTTAGGGTTAAAATACTTAATGCTGAATAATCCCCACAATATTAGTGTATCTCCCTACCTAAATATATATATATATACTGTGTGTGTGTATATATATATATATATATATATATATATATATATTTAGGTAGGGATATATATATATATATATATATATGGAGATATATATATATATATATATATATATATATACTGTATATACATAAATATGTGAATAAATAAAATCATCGCTGTCTCTGCTCATGCCACTGGCCAGCAGTAAATTATTTTATTTATTCACATATTTATATGTATATATATATATATATATATATATATATATATATATATTTTTTTTTTTTTTTTTTTTGCTATGACCATAGTGATCACATCATAACATGTAAACAAAACTCTCATGAATGGAAGCCATTCATGATAGCTTGCTTACTATTTTGATCGGTTACATAGTGCAAGGCCATTCACAGTGGCCTTGTACCATGTGATAGCTGTTGCCAATCATAGCATCACAAAAGTAAGCAAGCTGTCATGAATGAAAGCCATTCATGACAGTTAAAATGATTGCTTATAACAGTGATCATCACTGTTAAAGGTAATCACAGTGAAAAAAAAAAGTCCTGATAAACCCCCCACCCCCCCACCCCACCCCAGAGTAGTAAAAAGTCACTATGGTGACACTAAACTACTCTGATGAAAATATGTAAAAAAAAATTTAAAAAAAAGTTTTTTTTCTTACATACTATAACCAGTCACTATCTCTGATCACTGCCACACCAGTCATATGATGATACTGTATTGCACTGGTGACAGTATGTAAAAAAAATGTGAAACAAAAACAAATTTTAATAAACTTTTTTCATTTATCAAAAAAAGTGACAAAAAATTACAACTTCAAAAAACTCTCCATGCTTCACGATAAATACACTATATTGCCAAAAGTATTGGGACACCGGCATTTACACGCACATGACCTTTAATGTCATCATCCATTTTTAGTCCGTAGGGTTCAATATTGAGTTGGACCATCCTTTGCAGCTATAACAGCTTCAGCTTTTCTGAGAGGGCTGTCCACAAGGTTTAGGAGGGTGTCTATGGGAATATTTGACCATTCTTCCAGAAGCACATTTGTGAGGTCAGGCACCGATGTCAGACGAGAAGGCCTGGCTCACTGTCTCCGCTCTAATTCATCCCATAGATATTCTATCTGGTTGAGGTCAGGTCTCTGCGCAGGCCAGTAAAGTTCCTCCACCCCAAACTCACTAATCCATGTCTTTATGGACCTTGCTTTGTGCACTGGTGCGCGGTCATGTTGGAATAGAAAGGGGCCATCCCCAAACTGTTCCCACAAAGTTGGAAGCATGAAATTGTCCAAAATGTCTTGGTATGCTAAAGCCTTAAGAGTTCCCCTTGCTGGAACTACGGGGCCAAGCCCAACCCATGAAAAACAACCCCACACCATATTCCCCTCTCCACCAGACTTTATACTTGGCACAATGCAGTCAGGCGAGTACCGTTCTCCTAGCAACTGCCAAACCTAGACATGTCCTTCAGATTGCCAGACAGAGAAGGGTGATTGGTCACTCCAGAGAAAACATCTCCACTGCTCTATAGTCCAGTGGTGGCGTGCTTTATACCATTTCATCCTATGCTTTGCATTGCACTTGGTGATGTAAGGCTTGGATGCAGCTGCACGGCCATGGAAACCCATTCCATGAAGCTCTCTATACACTGTTGTTGTGCTAATCTGAAGGCCACACGAAGTTTGGAGATCCTGCTCTGTCATTTTACGTGGCCTACCACTTCGTGACTGAGATGCTTGTTGTTCCCACTTGCTTCCTCTATGTTATTATATCACCAACAGTTGACTGTGGAATATTAAGTAGCAAGGAAATTTCACAGAAGGACATTTTGCACAGGTGGCAACCTATCACTGTGCCAAGCTTGAATTAACTGAGTTCCTGAGAACGACCCATTCTTTCACAAATGTTTGTAGAAGCAGTCTGCATGCCTAGGTGCTTTATTTTACACACTTGTGGCCATGGAGGTAATAGGAACACCTGAATCCAATGATTTGGAGGGCTGGCCCAATACTTTGGCATGATAGTGTACCTTGGACTGTCTACTTTCCAAAAAGGGGTCACTTGTGGGGTATTTGTACTGCCCTGGCATTTTAGAGCCTCAAGAAATCAGGCAGTCAGTACATTAGGACTGATCAATTTTCAAATATATATACCATAGTTTGTAGACTCTATACACTGATTTTGGTTATTTCTACCAAAGAAATATAGCAGACTACATTTTTGCCTACATTTATGAAGAAAGATTATTAAAGTTTTTTCAATTTTTTGGTATTTTTTCATTTATATAATAAAAAAAATAAAAACCCAGTGGGGATAAAAAAAAAACAAAAAAAAAACCCTATATTTTTGTGAAAAAAAAGGATAGAAATTTAATTTTGGGTACAGTGTTGCATAACCGAGCAATTGCAAATAAAAGAAGGCAGTGCTGAATAGCAAAAACTGTCCTGGTCAAGAAGAGGGTAAAACATTCCAGAGGCCAAGTGGTAAAACAATATAAATCCTGAGAGCTGCTACCACTATACAAAGCAATCACAACACATGGAAAACATAATAATAGATTTAAAGTGATAATGGTTTTTTTTTTTTTTTTTTCAAATAACAGATATGTCATACTTACCTTCTCTGTGCAATGGTATTGCACAGAGCAGCCCTGATCCTCTTTCTTTCTCGGGTCCCCACTGGTGCTCCTGGCTCCTCCCCCTTAACCAGTGCCTTCAATATCAAGCTGCTTGCTTTGGGGACACTGGTGCATCCTTGCTCCCAAGCCCCACCTGGAAAACACACATTGGAGTACTGGCTGTAATTGACAGCAGTAGGAGCCAATTTCTCAGCCAATGAGGAGAGAGAGACCCAGGACAGGCTCCTGTGCACATCGCTGGATCGAGACAGGGGGCTCAGGGGGGTATTAGGGGGGCTGTGGGGGGAACTAGAAGAAGACATACAGAAGGTTTTTTCCTTGTTCAAACTTTTTATTGAATTTTCCAGGCTAGTAACAAGCATAGGACATTCAGGTACATGTCCAAGAATAGAAGAGAACATAAAGGAAAATGTCTTTCAAAAACATATACAACAGGAAACCATAGAGAAACATTATGGAATAATGCAATACAAAGGGAGGCAAAATACAGTGTGATCTAAATATGGAGTACTACCCCCCAGAACTAAATGTGGGTTATACAGAAGGTTTTTTATACGACGGTAAAAAACTTTTTGCCTTTACAACCATTTCACGAAAGTGAAGTATGGAGGAGCACTTCACTTTCTTAACCACTTCCTGTCTGGACACTTTTACCCCCTCCCTGTCCAGGGCAATTTTCAGTGCTATCACACTTTGACAATTGCGCGGTCATGCAACACTGTACCCATATGAATTTTTTATCATTTTTTTGAGACAGATAAAGCTTTATTTTGGTGGTATTTATTCACCACTGGGATTTTTATTTTTTTTTGCTATGTAAATGAAAAAGTCCAAAAATGTTGAAAAAAAGTGTTTTTCTTATAAAATAAATAATCTTTCATCATAAAGTTTGGCCCAAATGTATTCCGTTATCTTTTTAGTAAAAAAAAAAATAAGCCAAATTAGTTTATAACTAAAAATTATGATTTTTAAACATTTTTTTTACATTTTTATTTTATTTTTTATATTATTATTTATGTTTTTTTTTAAAATTTTTGTTTTTACATACTGTCACCCAAGCAGTACAGTGTCACCATGGGGACACTGTACTACTTGTGGGGGGTGATAAAGATTTTTTTTTTATTTTTTTACAGTGATTGCTTTTACACCCATATAGGATGTAAAAGCAATCATTTCTCTTTCTCTCTGTCTGCATTCTTGCAGCCATTGAGAACTACTGAGTGAGCTGTGATTGGTCACAGCTTGTCACATGGTACAAGGGTGTTGTGTATAGCCTTGTACCATGTGACCTCTGTGATCATTCACAGATTTCACACGTAGTAAGCAATGATGTCACAAGTGACATTTTGCTTACTACTTTGCATGTGATCACTGATTGGCCAATCAGTGATCACATGATCGGGACCTTGTACAGAGGTCCCGTCCAATGATCGGTGTTTCACTGTGTCCCAGGGAGCGCGCACAGCTAGAAATGGCGGGTGCCGTTTATGAACGGCAACCCGCCCCTGGAGTGCCACCATCCTGCCGTTTATAAACAGCAGGCGGATAGCAAGTGGTTAAACTGATTATTGTGGTTAGGGTAAAGCCCGGAATTTCACTTTAAGGCAAGCAACAGAACATCCAACTGAAATACATATAGTATACATATAAGATACTTTTTTGTCAAAGTGTTTGTAATTCTGTGAAGCCAGTTGTGTGATCTGGACACATTTGCCAGACAATGCCAGCCAGATTTATGACCTTAGCTGCTGCAGAAGGATAGTGTGGTCAAGTACACACCCACAGGCTTTTGATTGGGCGGTAAAGGATCATTAGCAGCACAGATTGGTTAATAATACACCCGCTGTTTTTTTTTTTTTAATTGGACTGTAAAGTATCAGCAGTAGCACATAGGAGGTTATCCCTTTTCACAGTAGTATATGAGATAGTTTTATCTTCCAAAACATTTGTTTTTTTCTGTCCAATTGGTCCAGAAATTGACAAAGCCATGCCAAAGAGCACAGGCTGGATGATGACCTTTCAGACTGCAGTGAGGACCGCTTCCAGTATATGAGGCCAATAAACTAACAGACTTGAAGAGCTGAGTAAAAAAGTGCAAATTTGGAAACTGAGTGAAATATACTTTTCCGGCACTCTAGTTACATTAAAACTCCAGGAAGATATAAAATCACTAATGCAGTTAAGAATTTATTTTCCAATGTAGTTAGTGTTAAGTACCTAAATCTGTTCCTGCAATCCAACACTGTAAAGGCCAACACTTGGAACAATCTGAAAGGCAGAGTGAAGGGATGAGCACATCAGTGTGCCAATATTCTTCCACTCTCCTGTCACAGTCTGGGGCAGGGGTGACCAGGCTGTATGCCTGAACAGCAGTAGAGAAGTTAAGTCAGCTTGGCTCCACTGTCTGGTAGGGCTGTGTATATTCAAGAACTGCTTGGACAGAAATACATGTCCTATTGCAGGGTAAAACAGTTCTACTATATTTATTTCATCTTTTTATTTATATATTTGCTTGGAGCTTTAATGATTTGTTTGCATCACTTAAAGGATAAGGGCCCTTTCACGCGGTAGCACCGATCAGATACATCTGTCCATTTTTCAGGCAGACCCGATCAGACCACCCATTGTTCTCTATGGGGACGGGGATGTAAACGGACATCTGTCTGTTTACACCCCCCTGCATCTGATCTGATCCGATCTCAAAAACAGACAGGTAGGGATCCATTCCCTATCCATCTAGTGGATCGGATGACAGTCAGATGTAAATGGACAGGCAGCAGTCCATTTACATCCAACCACCCCATAGAGAAGAGCTGCACAAGCAGAGCAGACACGGACCTGTCATCTGCTTGCTTAGCGGGGATCAGTGGACAGATCTCCCTCTGAGCAGGCAAATTCTCTTGGAGGAGTCCACCCATGTGAAAGGGCCCTAAGTTTACCTTTTGAAATAAAAAACAGTAATAAAAGTAAGGCACTTTACATAAATTCATCCATCCATCCAAAAATTATATATACATAAAAACAACTATTAAAATAAGCCCAAATTTATAATATAGTGTGTCCCAAAGCCATACAAAGATATCTGTACTCTATATGATTTCTTCATCCTCCTTTTTAAACACTATAAAAATGCTCCACCACATGCTCCAGAAATGTGCACTCACCGCAAAACTATGACACTCATAATGACCCCAAGTATGAATAAGACGGCCATTTAGCGCATTTTACAGCCTTTGATGTGCTCTTTATTGCTCCAGATGTGGGTGTGTCCCAGTGCTAGGTCCTTCAAAAGTGTCCCACACACCATACAGCCTTAGGGAAATACCACTGCACGGCTCCAATCCCTGGAGCCAGAGTGCGTTCCAAAGCTTTGAAGTTGGCTCCAGAAGTGATGTCACCACGTAGCTGGAATTGTCAACATAGCAGCATGTTCAGGTAGCTCTTGCACATTTTTTTGCAGGTAAAAAATGTGCATTTATTATTTTTTTTCTAAGGAGCCTACGCAGCATTTCATCCACAATCAGCAGATCGCGGGTGCAATATCAGACTGTCTGCCCGTGCTTCCTGTATGGATAGGTAGTTACTTGAGAGCAGGAAGCTCATTGAACTACGAGAGCACTCAGTGGCAGATGGTTCTTGTAGTCTATTCATTCACAGGCAACTGTGAATGAATGATGCGGCTGTGTGGGCAGTGCCTGGCATTGCTGCAGTGTTTTCAAATTGTGACAGTGGGTATGGGGAGAAGATCCCTTGCCTGCTGTCACAGGGAGGGGATTGGGGGGAGAGCGGGAGGATGTTGAACATGTAACATCCTAACTACCAGCGTAACATGCTCAGAAAGATAAACTTAGCCTTTAATCTAGCCACAGATGGATTGAAATTTGGCGAGTTCAGCAGAGAGCAGCCGATTTTCAATCCATCCATGGCTGTCACCACTCCAGAGACATCGATCTAACGACTAGCTTCTTTCTAACTGTACTGTTGGAAAATTTTCACTGCATGCAGTCAATTCAAGTGCAAGTCCTACTGTCAGAATACAATAATGACACTGGGAAATTTCTTCCATCCACCTTGTTCATTCTGTGTATGGGGGAAACACTGGCTGATAAAAACCCCCCAAAAAAACACTCCCCCTGTGATCAGTTTCACACTGTTTGGTGCCACATAGATGGTGCTATAGAAATGATTACTAATAATGAAATTATTACTGAAAGTAACAATGGGGAATCAATAAGCTATTGTTTCTTAACCGAGTCCTTCGTTTAAGACACCTCAGACTGTTCCCCTCACTGTCCTTAGGCTACGAGACCATATCCTGATCTCAATTACATCTCTGGAAGAATCGAACAGAGGGGAAGATGCATACCATATGCTTCCTCCAGTACAGTTTTGAGTAGGCTTTCATTTCTTCAGTGTTGATCCTTTTTCATTTCTTTTTTTAAATTTCCCCTCCTCTACTGCTTATAAATCTCTCAGTACACATGGAAGCCCTAAAGAGTCCATAAAGAAAAAAGATCTTCATAGGAAAAAATCCTGTAAAAGCTGACTTCAAAATCCTTAAAAGCTCAAAATTCAGCAGCGTTTTTGGGAGACTTTGAAGGCAATACCACTTGTTTGTAACTTATTGCGAAATGCACTGAATCTTCTTAAATCTTTTAAGAACTTTATGCTATTGATGCAGGATTTCTACAAGAAAATGCATGTCTCTCAAATACTACAATCAGCTATTAAATAATACGAATGTGTACAACATGTTCCAGGTTAAGCAGATCAATGAACATGCAACTCTTGCTGTAGAAAAACGCAGATGCACATCTATTGTTTGTTGGAAGTTATTATTCCACTGGATAAGAGAAAATTGATTTCTTATAAGCCATACCTATGTTTAGAGCTATAGGTTAAGGATAACTTATGGGATAAAGATAAGTGAAAATATGGGGTTCATCGTAAGGAAGTTGCCTTACTCCCACCAATACCAATCAATAATTTACATCTGTTGTTACTGTGACCACAGATCTATGACTTTATTACACTAACCTGAGGGACAACAGCTAATGTAACACATTTTCCACTTACAATTAATGGGAGCAGAGAGAATTGTGAGCTGAGTTTCTAGAAAACACAGCTACACACTACGTGTGGACTTTTTGTGATATAACAGTGCTGTAAGTTTTGGTGATTTGTTGTAAAATTTTATGTAGTGCATGGCTCTGGAGGCTGCTCACTGACAACTTTGATTTCCTGCTGGACCCCCAAAGGAGATGGGAGTGCAACACTAGTTTGTGCAGTCCACAAAACGTTTTACTCTGCAACAAAAGCCAAAGAATCTTTAGGGGCTCAACATTGGCCTTGCCCAAGTGCCTGCATGATCTGTACATGCCTTCTGAAGAAAGGGGAATGTTGGGCCTCCAAAAGACACACACCTAAACCTTGTGGACAGCCTTCCCACAAGAGCTGAACCTGTTATAGCTGCAAAGGGTGGGCCAACTCAATATTGAAGCCTATGGACTAAGACTGGGATGCCATTAAAGTTCCTGTGCATGTAAATGCTGGCGTCCCAATCAGGGGCGGACTGACAACTCACGGGGCCCCGGGCAGTAGGGGATCATGGGGCCCCTGTGTCCTTGCCCAAAAATCAAGAAAGCCTATGAAAAAGGTACCACGGGCATCTCATGGGGCCCCCTACTGACCCCGGCCCTCGGGCAGTGCCCGAGTTTCCAAATGGTCAGTCCACCCCTGGTCCCAATACTTTTGGCAATATAGTGTATTTATTGAGAAGCATGGAGAGTTTTTTGAAGTTGTAATTTTTTGTCACTTTTTTTGGTAAATGAGAAAAGTTATCTTTTTGCAATATAATGTGTGTATACATATATATATATATATATATATATATATATATATATACTGTATATATATTCATACAGCTCAAACAAATTAAAGTAGCACTTTAATAGTATAGCATCAAGTCAATTGAACTCCTGGAATATTGATCTGGTCAGTGAAGTAGCAGAGTCAGATTCAGCTTCCTTGTTGGTACTGAAATTAACAACATGTGCACTAGAAGGGCAACAATGAGACGACCTTCAAAACAGGAATGGTTTTACAGGTGGAGGCCACTGATATTTGTTTCCCTACTCATCTTTTCTGACTGTTTTTCATTTTTTGCATTTGGTTAGGGTCCGTGTTACTACTGGTAGAATGAGGCAATACCTAGATCCTACAGAGGTTGCACAGGCAGTCAAACTCCCCCAGGATGGCACATCAATACATGACATTGCCAGAAGGTTTGCTGTGTCTCCCAGCACAGTCTCAAGAGCATGGAGGAGATTCCAGGAGACAGGCAGTAACTCTAGGAGAGCTGGCCAGAGCCATAGAAGGTCCTTAATCCATCTGCAGGACCGGTATATGCTCCTTTCTGCAAGGAGGAACAGGATGAGCACGGCCAAACCCCTACAAAATGACTTTCAGCAGGCCACTGGTGTGAATGTCT